GGAAATAAGGGTACCCGTAATACGCGACACATCCCTAGCCGTGGGTAAAACATCGTCAAGAAGCAGTGAAATCAGATTAAACAGGTGATCAATCTTGCCTGGTGGGATACTAAATTATCCTTTGGTAAGGTCCAAAATAAAGCCTAAGTGCTCTCCTTTTTGGCGCGGTTCAAAATTGCTCTTTTCCTCATTCACTAGCAGGCCAAGGCGATCAAGATCGCCTCGCACTATTTGCGTTTCCTGAGAACACGAATCTTTACTTGAATCGGCGCCAGTGTGCAACAACTGGTGTTAACAATTTGGTGAAAACGTAAGGAGACGTACTTAAACCAAAGGAAGCGAACAAAACAAAAAATAGCGCGGCTTACCATCGAAAGTAAACGAAAAAGCCAAATACTTCCAATGTTCTTGAAAAATGTCAACATGATGGTAGCCATTAGGAAGATCGAAAGTAAAAAACCAATCCTCTGGCTGAAGAATTTCAGCCACGACTCAAAGGCCTTCGAACTTAAACTTACGCTTGGCTAGGTGCTTGTTAAGAAAGAGAAGGTTAAGAATCAATCGAAGTTTGCCATTCTTTTTAGGAACTACACCTAAGGGACTGCAAACATGAACTTGGTCACGCTTGACTTCCACCGGGCTACCCGCCAACAACAATTGCTCGATAGCCTCACAAACAAAAGCTCTATTATCAACAGCGCTTTTATGATTACTAAAGAAATACTTCACTGGAATTGAAACAAATGGTAACTTGTAACCGCTTTCAATAACACAAAGAACAAAAGAAGAGGCCCCAATAGAACGCCAAACATGCAAAAACTTGCGCAAGCGGCCTCTAATCCAAAATACTGAGGAAACGCCCGTGTCAAGTTCAGCCTCGCCGCGTTTCGAAAACGCGTCAAAATCAGAGTCAGCTAGTCATTTAGCGGAAGAGGAAACTTTACAATACTTGATGAAATGGCCTGCTTTGCCGCAACCAAAGCAGCGATAAACAGAAGCTTTTTTCTCCGGTACAGGATTAACCAAAAGTTGACCGACATCCGGGCGAAAATCCACGATTCTATGTGACGGGCCAAAATTTACAGTGAGGCCGCTTTTGAAAGATGTAGACTGAGACTTAAAACGAGGTTCCCATTTTGCTTCTCAGGCTATTTTTCCGATTCCGCCTCTCGCGAGACCTCTCGCGCGACACGAAGTTTCTTTTCTTCTTCGTCATTTTTAGTGAGTGGGTCCGCCTCAAAATATTCTACCACGTCCCAGCCATCCTGGTCAGCAATAGAAATAAGCTTATTTCTGTTATCAAGGAGTGACATACCTTCGTTGGCAATCTTAGTGATCGCGTCATCCACCCCAGCCCTCTCTAACATCTGGTTGAACTTATCCTTGACGTCAGTGTTGAACTTGAACTGTTTCTTGTTACTCTTATATTTGAACTAGGGTTCCTCCTCCGCAGACTTGCGTTTTAGTGAGTGGAGCTGTTCCTTGACAACCTTAACCTCCTCCGTTTTCGCCTCCAGGGCCTTTAAGATTTCCTTCGCCCAAGTTGGGGGCTCAGGGCTGCGAGAAGCAGAGAAACGACTTCTGCGGTGCGAACGCTCGCGAAGGCGAAGAACTACGGCCAGAACCGCTTGAAGCTGCAACATGTGAACGAGAACTACGACGGCCTGAACTTCGATGTTCTCTTGTTCTGGACGGCCGGACAACAGGGTCTTCAATGTCCGCGTTGACTCTCGAAACACGAGAACGAACTGAAGCAGGGCGACCACGACGGCCCCGCGCCATGTGGACGAGATAGGAAGAACGAGCTAAGAATTTAACTGTCCGCTTGTAAAAATCCACAAACTTTGAACAAATGACAAGTCGCTTATATTACTTGCTACTTTACATATCACACTTTCTTCTCATAATCTCATACCGGCACTTAAAACACACTGCCGACAAAAGCACCTGTGCTTGGGAATTCAAGAAATCAATTATCTTTTGTTTCATTACGCTTCGCTGCATTCAGGCAAAGATAAATGAACAATTCTTTACATTTCTGAAAATAGCTTTTGCAATACTATATGAACTTATGGTCATGCAAATAAAGCTCGTTGTTGTTGTAAAAGTTTGTGGCTGAAATAGTTTTGTTTTCCAGAATCTTTAACAGTTCGGTGTATGGTGGTAAACAGTAGGTTACAAACTACTCTGTAAAACTATTTATTTAGATATTCTGCATTGAGATTCAAGAAGTATAGAATAGGCCAAAGAAATGATAGTCCAACACTTATAATCCTGACCTACCTCAGTAAATCTTACATGAAAGCTTGATTATCTTGCCTAAGAAGATTAACTGTTCGGTTAAAAAGACGTTAACAATCTTGTTTCCACTTTCTTACTCTTAAAATATATTTTTTCTCAAGGTTGAGAAAAAAGCGGCATGGACAACATCTTGGAGATTCTACAGACCTTTTGTACTGGTGTAGACGTTGCAACTTTCCTTTTCAACACTGGACGCATTATAAAAGCAGTAGACATCTTTAACGAATGTTTGGTGCTCCTTAACGGTAAAGCCCTAGAGACAATCAAAGAACTTACCACACCATTTCTTATCTATGTATATCGTAAACTTCTTGATGGCTATACTCTTGTGTACGATCACACCCGTGCGATAGAATGTGGTAAAAAGCTTCTAGTGACACTACACAATAGTGGCCAAAAAGAGAAAGAGGGGATAATATTACTCAAACTAGCGAACATCTACTATCAAAGAAGCAAATACGAGGAAGCAAAACAGTTTTGCGAGAAGGCACTCAGCATCATGATTGAAACCGGAAATAATCGCGGAGTTGGAACATGTTACGGAAATCTAGGAACTGTGTTTAGATCTGTTGGTCAATATACCAAGGCTGAAGAGTACCTTCAAACAGCACTAGTGATAAGGAAAGAAATCGGTGACAAAAAAGGAGAAGCAGCAGATTACGGAAATCTAGGAACTGTGTTTCTTTCTGTTGGTCAATATACCAAGGCTGAAGAATACCTTCAAAAAGCACTAGTGATCAGAAAAGAAATCGGTGACAAACACGGAGAAGCATCTGCTTACGGAAATCTAGGAACTGTGTTTAGATCTGTTGGTCAATATACCAAGGCTGAAGAATACCATCAAACAGCACTAGCGATCAGCAAAGAAATCGGTGACAAACAAGGAGAAGCAGCAGCTTACGGAAATCTAGGAACTGTGTTTAGATATGTTGGTCAATATACCAAGGCTGAAGAATACGTTCTAAAAGCACTAGTGATCATGAAAGAAATCGGTGACAAACACGGAGAAGCATCTGCTTACGATAATCTAGGAAGTGTGTTTCAATATGTTGGTCAATATACCAAGGCTGAAGAATACCTTCATAAAGCACTAGTGATCAAGAAAGAAATCGGTGACAAAGAAGGGGAAGCAGCTGCTTACGGAAATCTAGGAACTATGTTTAAATCTGTTGGTCAATACACCAAGGCTAAAGAATACCTTCAAACAGCACTAGTGATCAGCAAAGAAATCGGTGACAAACGAGGAGAAGCATCTGCGTACGGAAATCTAGGAAATGTGTTTCAATCTGTTGGTCAACATACCAAGGCTGAAGAATACCTTCAAAAAGCACTAGTGATCAGCAAAGAAATCGGTGACAAAAAAGGAGAAGCAGCAGATTACGGAAATCTAGGAACTGTGTTTCTTTCTGTTGGTCAATATACCAAGGCTGAAGAATACCTTCAAAAAGCACAAGTGATCAGCAAAGAAATCGGTGACAAACAAGGAGAAGCAGCAGATTACGGAAATCTGGGAACTGTGTTTAAATCTTTTGGTCAATATGCCAAGGCTGAAGAATACCTTCAAAAAGCACTAGTGATCAGGAAAGAAATCGGTGACAAAGAAGGAGAAGCAGTAGATTACGGAAATCTAGGAATTGTGTTTCTTTCTGTTGGTCAACATACCAAGGCTGAAGAATACCTTCAAAAAGCACTAGTGATCAGCAAAGAAATCGGTGACAAAAAAGGAGAAGCATCTGCTTACGGAAATCTAGGAACTGTGTTTAAATCTGTTGGTCAATATGCCAAGGCTGAAGAATACCTTCAAAAAGCACTAGTGATCGGGAAAGAAATCGGTGACAAAGAAGGGGAAGCATTTGCTTACGGAAATCTAGGAACTGTGTTTCAGTCTGTTGGTCAGTATACCAAGGCCGAAGAATGCCTACAAACAGCACTAGTGATCAGGAAAGAAATCGGCGACAAAGCTGGTGTTTGGGATTCATACTTAAAGCTGGAAAAACTTTTTGCAGAATTTCAACTTGCTGCAAAGAGTCAAGAATTTGCTATTAAAGCACTTGAAATAAGTTACGAAATAGGGGACATTGAAATGCAGTTTAACAGCCACCTTGCCATTGCTCTGAACGAGTTACTGGCAGGAGGAAGCATAACTGAAGGTCTGCGAAATCTGCATGAAAGCATTCAGAAGTGCGAAGAAATGCATGATTTTTTAAGAATGAAAGATCAATTTAAAATTTCTTTTTTTGATGAGCATGTGTCCCCTTACCTTCTTCTTTGTAGGTTGTTAATTGCTGCAGGGAGTAATTACGAAGCTCTTTACGTTGCCGAGCTTGGACGATCCAGAGCACTGACAGACGTACTTTCAGATAAGTACTCTGTGGAAAAAGGGGTATCAGTCAACCCACAGTCATGGATTGGTATTGAGAACATCATGAACAAAAATGCACTTAGTTCTTGTCTTTATGTTTCCTGCTTCGATCATAATATGTACTTTTGGATCCTCAAGCCAAACAAAATGATAGTTTTTCGACAAACGAGACTCAAAGAAAGTGCAGATAAAGTGTTTGGAAATCAAACATTTGGTGGTTCTCTTGATTTACGTCAAGACCAATGCGAAGATCGATCATTATTTTCATGTGTAAGTTCCCCGCTATCATGCAAACAATCTCAGAGTGACAGCTTCGAATCTTTGCGTCGTATCGAAG